TTGCAATTCCTGTCATAATATGAAAAAAGTACAGGANGCTACTACTTCACACATCTTCACCGGCTCAACCAGAAGCTTCAAATTTGGCAAATACAAGTAACTCATGTACCGATAACATCACACAACGCAAGAAATACACTGCAAACATCTCGACAGAAAACTTTTTCCAGTCACTAGATACTGATGACGAGAATGAGACAAGCAAATACTCTAATAGTTTAAATAGAAGCTGCCCCGTCTTGGGTCATACACAGCATGAAGACCTAGATGATATGCGAAGGTTATTGTCAGATCTACAGGCAAAGCTAGCGGCAGCTGATAGCGAGATTAATAATTTACTACAAGAAAATGGAACACTTAAAAAACAGATTCGTGAACATGAGCAAAAAATAGACAATTTGAACAGAATCTGTAAATCAGTTCCCAAGAAATCGACAAATAAAAAGGAAGGCATCAATAATTCTAATGAGACTCCTAGGTCCTCGAAAAAACGAGAAAAAAATGATAGTTTTTCTTTATTATGCGGAGAAAAAAGAGATATGCCCTCACCAAAAAATGACAAAAGTATCACTAAGTATGGCTCTCTAAATAATCAAAGTCAAAAACAAGAACGTGCACTGAAAAAAACAATATTAATTTATGGAGATCAGCAGGTTGCTGGCTTGGCATCCAAAATACGAACAACAAGAGCTGGGAAATGGAATGATATATACAATGTTTATGGGGAAGTAAAACCTAATGCTACTAGCTCTGAGATTCTAAGCGGTTTAGAAGAGAAGACGTTTTCCTTACAACGCGACAACATTATTATTCTGGCAGTAGGGTCTAATGACAGAAATCCTTATGAGGTTTTTACAAGTCTGTGTAATATTTTGTCTAAACTGAAACATAATAATGTCTATTTATTGAGTGTTAAAGCTAATAATTATTTGAATACTAAACTTTTGAACTCAGAATTAAAAATGATAGCCAAAAATTATTCTAATTGTAAATATATTGAAACGAATTTGAACATGTATCATAGCTATTTTAAAAATAATTCCCTGGACTATTTATCTTTTAAATTAAATATTGAAATTGATTATCTGAAGTATGAGAAAGAATGTTTGAAAAGAGGAATTCGCTCTAGAATTGTATCCAATAACTTAGAACAGAACTATTGTAATAAACATCAAATACTACCAGAGACGTTTTTTCGTAAAACCATTAACAAAATGTAATATTTCAGGGATTACAAATAAATCGTTCTATGGCGGAAACATTAATAATTCTGTAAATCGAGTTGATGATACATTTAGAATACTTCACCAAAATATAGGGGGGTTGTTGAGCAAGTTGGATGCTTTAGAATTTTCACTGCAAGAACTTGAGGAGGATAATCAGCGGGTTGACGTGCTTTGCCTCTCGGAGACCTTTATAAAAAAGGGGTCAGAACAAAATATTAAACTTCAAAATTTCAAATTAGTTTCAACATACTGTCGTGGTAAATCTAGAGGTGGTAGTGCAATACTTGTCAGGAAGGGTTTGGATGTTAAACCAATCAAATTAGCTTCAGAATTTGCCTCTGACTTTTACTTTGAATGTTGCGGGACCGAAATAGTAGGGATAGATTTGATCATAATAAATATTTATAGGATTCCACAGCAAACTACGTCTCATGTAGGTGTCTTTATCAATAAAATTGACAACCTACTTCAAAAGTTAAGTTTGATGTATAAAAAGAAAAAAATTGTTTTGTGCGGTGATTGGAATATCGATATTTTGAAAGACACCAATTTTTCTAGAATTCTTACCAGTACCCTACTCTATCATAATTTTACTATGCACATAAAATCACCCACGAGAGTAGACGCATGCATAGATCAAATGGCAAGTAATACAAAGGTAGCCGCAGCTCACGTTCACTACCTCTACTTGTCGGATCACGAGACAGCCCAAACTCTGCTGCTAAATATAAAAAAGCAGAAAACATACACGACATGGTTCGAACTTAAAAGAGATTACTGCTCAGATAATATTCGTAAGTTCTATGACTGCGTTTCAGCACTGTCATTCTCAGAAGCTGATAGTGCAGAGAATGCTGAAATTGCATTTCGCAGTTTATATGACTTGCTACACCTATTTTATAATTTGTGCTTTCCTATAATTCAAGTCAAAGTTAGTAATAGACAGACTAGGGCGAAATGGCTTACTAAAGGCATAAAAAACTCTTGTAAGACTAAACGAAAATTATATATGACATATAAAAAAATGAAGTCAAATAAAAACATAAATAAAATTGAATTCTCAAGGTATAGTAGTATATTAAAAAAATGTGTAGACAGATCCAGGAAAATTAACAATAATAAATATATTTCAACAAACAAAAATAAATGTAAAGCTACATGGAACATTATTTCAAAGACTATATCGAATAATATACATAAAAATGACATCAATTCAATAAAATTTAATAATTTGACATACAACGACCCATATGACATTTCCAATATATTTAATAATTATTTCATTGACATTAACATGACTAACGCATCAAATAACACAAATATCAATAATAACATAATGCGCAACCTACATACAATATTCTTGAAACCAGTTAAAGAAGAAGAAATATTTAAAATAATAATGTCTTTAAAGAATACTTCTAGTAGCGGTTATGACGATATGACGACAAGTATTCTTAAACTAATAGCACCGTTAATAAGTCGTCCTCTCTCTCATGTAATAAATTTATCCTTTGAAGACGGCGTATTTCCTGACGAGTTAAAAATTACTGTAATAAAACCGTTACATAAGAAAAATGACTACTCTGATCCTGGTAACTACAGGCCTATAGCCCTGATACCAATCATTTCAAAAGTTTTTGAAAAGGCAATGGCCACTCGGTTAAACGATTTTTTGACGAAACATGCTCTGCTCCTATCGGAACAATATGGATTTCGAAAGGGCTACTCAACCGAGCTGGCTTGTTTCGATTTTGTTAAATACGTAACAGAGGCTATTAACAAAAAAATACCCATTATGTCGATTTTCCTCGATATGAGTAAAGCGTTTGATGTTGTGAATCACTCTAAACTAGTTTCCAAGCTTGAGCTCTATGGGATCAGAGGCAAAGCGTTGGATTGGATAAAAAGCTATTTAGGAAACAGAAAACAATGTACGGAAATCTCACAACTTACTAGAGTAAATAATCGTCTCATTAAGCAACAGTATAGATCCCAGTATCGATGCACACGCATGGGAGTGCCACAGGGCAGCGTATTGGGACCTCTAATGTTCTTAGTTTATATTAATGATCTGCCTCGATCAACAACACATAAGTGCATACTATACGCGGATGATACGACACTTTTAATAAAAGGTTATGATAAAAATGCATATGAAGAGAGCGTTAATAGTGCATTAAAAAACATAATCACATGGATGAATAAAAATGACTTAAATGTAAATGTTACCAAAACGAAATTCATGCAATTCCATTCTTATAAGACAAGGACACCGGAATTGAACTTAATTCACGATAGTGATCCAATTGAAAAGGTAGATAGTGTTAAGTTCCTCGGACTACATATTGATAGTAACTTAAATTGGAAGACTCATATTGACGCAATATGTAATAGATTGAACCGGTTCGTATATGCCCTTAAAACGCTAAAGAACACTGTTTCCATTGAAGCAGCCATCACTGCTTATCATGGACACGTATCATCAGTGCTCAACTATGGCCTAATTTTATGGGGAAATTCCGTAGACGTGGAAAGAGTCTTTAAGCTCCAAAAGAGATGCATTCGAGCCATCACAAGTACGTGGTTTACAGACAGCTGCAAACCCCTATTTAAAAAATTAGAAATTCTGCCTTTAGCCTGCATGTATATAAGGAACGTTTGCACATTTGTAGTGTCTCACCCTAATTTATTTCAGAAACTTAATGAAGTAAAAACAAGGAAACTAAGGGCTCAGTATGTGAATCTGTTATATCAGCCTCAATGTTCCACTTACATTTATAGAAAAAATGTATTCAATATGTGTATCACATTGTTTAACAACCTTCCAGACAATTTAAAAACTTTGGACTGTAAGCTATTTAAAATAAAATTGAATGAATGGTTATTTGAGTACTGTTTTTACAGCGTGAATGAATTTATGGATTATAAAAATATGACAATGTAAATGTAGATAAATAATAAATTGACTAAAGTAATGTAATGATATAATTGAATGTAATGTTAATAAGAGTGATCCTACTGACTTACCACTTGACAAAATGTATTTGCACACCTGCATGCAGGTTGAATACTTGTACTAAAAATTTTTTGTAAGAACCTTATAACCTGTATTCTGGCAAATAAACGCTTCTTATTCTCTTATTCTTATTCTCTTAAAAAAAACTACTTGCTAAAAGGATAAAGACCAAAAATGTATGGAGTGTGGTCCAAATGTCCACCACTAACGAGACCTATGTAGTAAAATAGTCTACTAAATACTGATTCATTATAACCAAACCGCAATCAAAGATACATTATGCTGTCAGTAAAAAGTTATGGACGAATGAAAAGTCATGTTTTTTACCTTTTCATCCGAAAAATGTTCTTGATATCATTCTATCCATCGCACATTTTGGATTAATATATGCATGTTATGTCATGTCGCTTAGTGTGCCGTGTTAGATTCTCGCTAAAAGAAAAAAAAATAAGCTCAGAAGAAAGACATCAATATTGGAATTATGGTCGGGTGGTCGCTGCTCCGCCCCTATTGGTTGTAGGGTGATGTTATATAACCTAAAACCATCCTTGCTAAATGGGCTATCCATAACAAAAATAATTTTTCAAATCGGACCAGTAGTACCTGAGATTAACTTCTTACTGACAGCTTATTTTTTTTTCGTCCCATACTGAAAGTTAATCTCTATTTAATGAACTATAAGCCAATATAGGTCTCATTAGTGGTGGACATTTGGACCACTTTTGGTCATTGTCCTTTGATTACTTTTATTCTCTTACCTTAGCGGGACAATTCTCAAGCACCATCTTGTTGAGGTTTGGATAGAAGTATCTACCACGAGCCAGGAGCATGAATGCGTTGCCAAGGTCTTCGGCGAACGAGTCGTAGATCCTAGAACAAAGCATCATCATCAAGTTAACGGTCGTGTTCTTATGGTAAAACCACCAGTCTTGAATCCAGAGGTCCCGGATTCAATTCCCTGTGAGGGCAATATCTTTTGCTCGATGGTTAAGGGTAAGGTTGGATCTAAGTCTGCTCAGCTAGCTATCATCATCTCACCTAAATAAAGTCAACATAACAATAATGTTAATAGCATTACACACACACTGAAAACCAGCGCCGTAGCCTTCGTCACCGTGGGTCAAGGCATATGCTGAGTGGGGTCCCGTTGCAGTGGGCATCTTGTTGGTGAATGGGTGGCACTGCTCAGTTTACTCTTTTTTTTTATTTTTTCTTCTTTTATTATTATGTGCCACTGTCATGTCTATGTAATTGCCTGTATTTGTGTGATGTCCATTGTAATAAATGTATCTTTCTTTCTTTCTTTCTTTCATTAGAACTGTGCTCCGGCAGTTAGAGATGGAGGTAAGATAGCCAGTTTCTCTGTGGTTGAGGAGTCCGCCTGATGACTTTCCATCAGGTGAGATGTAAGCTAAGAGATTCCCCGTAAAAATGGTAATTTTACCCTCTCTTGTTGACTCTCTCTATGTATAATTTACCAGAGGCAAATGGACGATTAGGCCGACACTCCCTACGCTGACCAGACGAGTTTTTTACACTTTGGAAGGAATTCAATCCAGAATCTAATCCGTATGGCGTATGGAACCCTAAAAAAACTAAAACATTAAAAAGAGTTTCTAATTTTTTCATATTATTATTATACTGTCCCATCATTATTCGTTTGGTTATTTTAGATCAAAAAATAACCGCCCCCGGGTGGACTCGAACCACCAACCTTTCGGTTAACAGCCGAACGCGCTAACCTATTGCGCCACGAAGGCGATGTAAGGCAGTTTAAACTACGTATCCATACTTGAAACAGCGTAGCGTAGATTGTTAGGTAAATACCAATTCAATACTTCATTAATTTATTGCATCACCTTGACCATCCGTAATAAAACAAGTTATAGAGACTACAGTCTTATAACTAAACAGAGGAAGCTGTCATAAACTGAGATAATAAAAATATGAGACATCATCATTATCATCATTTCAGCCACAAGACGTCCTCTGCCGAACATAGGCCTCACCCAATGATTTCCATACTGCCCGGTTGGTAGCGGCCTACCTCTAGCGCCTTCCTGCACCTATAGTAGAACGACAACATTATAATGGAAGCAGGAAGGCACTGGATGCAGGTCGCTACCAACCGGGCAGTATGGAAATCCTTGGGTGAGGCCTATGTTCAGCAGAGGTCGTTTTGTGGCTGAAATGATGATGATAACAATGACTCATTTTATCTGGAAATCATTGGGGGAGGCAGTGGACGTCCTGTGGCTGAAATTATGATGATGAACCTTAGTTTCCATGGTGACAAGAATGCTCTAGGGTAGGTATACTCACGGTGCCAGGATGTGGGCGGCGCAGGACCGGTCTTTGTGGAAATCTTTGGGAGAGGCCTTTGTCCAGCAGTGGACATCATTTAGCTGAAACGAACAAACGAACAATACTCACGAGTGCATCTCCATGGCTATTCTCCTCAGCTCCCTGCGGTCCATTTCATCAGCTTCCTTCCAAGATACGCCAGGTGGAGCCTGTTCCTCATCTGCTGGAGAGCCACCAGGGAGGGCATGCAGGGGTTACCAGACTCACATCCTCTGATTTGGGACGAGGTCATCCGTTTTTCCTCACTAGTATAATTTCAATGTTTTAGAGAATACTCACGTGTGGCAAAAGTACTGTGTGTGCGTACTCTTAAGAGCAAAATGACGATTTGTAAGAACTATTTATTAGTCCAAACAAATAAAGAAATTTTGACTTTGACTTTGACTTTGTGCACTATGTATCTCAAATGCTATCCTCAGTAGACCACAGCACTTTCAGTTGACCACACCATCAATTCCGATTTAATCCGCTTGCTGACCTTAGTTTCTATGTCGATAAGAATAACTTTAGGTTGTACTCACGTTTGTATCTCAAGAAATATCCTCCTTACTCCTTAGTTGCTATAGTGATAAGAATAATTTTGGAGAGTACCCATGTGGTACATTTTGAATCTTCACAAGCTTGAAGCAGGAAACTGGCATGACATTACACAAGGCCAAAGCAAATAGCGACATCTCCTATCAAAAGTCAAGACACTGGGTCGCTAAGCCATCGGAATAAGTAAGAAATATTAATTTTGTGACTGTAAATTTTTTTATGAGACAGGGCGCAAACTAGCAAACGGATCACCGAGTAGTAAGTGATTATAGACACACGCAGCCTCGAGGAAGTTACGTGCGTTTCCAGCCTTTGAGTTGTCAGGTTCTAAAAGACACTTACGAGTGCATCTCCATGGCTATCCTCCTCAGCTCCCTGCCAGTAGCCAGCGCGGTCCACTTCATCAGCTTCCTGCCAAGATACGCCAAGTGGAGCCGGTTCCTCATCTGCTGGAGAGCCACCAGGGAGGGCATGCAGGGGTACCGCACCGCGCCAAGGGAGCTCTCATCCTCTGAGGAAACGAGGTGAATAGCAAAGATGTTAGACCCAGAGGTCTTTAGTTCAATTCCCAGTAGGGGCGATATTTTCTACTAGGTTTGGACGATTTATTTATATGTTGGTTAGGGGCTTACACAATTTTATTGAATTTTTGTACAAATAGTATTTATAGATAGAGATGTACTTAGAGATGCGCACGTGCGTTAAAATACAGCTGAGTAGCACAGTAACACCACGTTATGGTGATGATTTAAGGCTTGTTCTAAGTCCACCTGGCTAGCTACCACCATCTTACCTGTCTGTCATCTAACAGCATTGTTGTTACGGTAGTTATAGGTAAGATTAACCAGTTCATTTGTGGATGAGGATTCTGGATAAAGCTGGTTTCCACCTTCGGCCTGATTGTCAATTTCCATTAGGTGAAATTGGGTCAAAAGTTTGGCCATTTCGGGAAAAAAACGAAGTCCAAACACGTGCTAAATTCTTAAATTATATACTTTTTTTATACATACCTTCATCTGTAAACATTTTTGGCTATTTCAGAGTATATTTCACGGAAAAACTTAGTGGAATGACCAGATTCTGTTCACAGTGTGTATTTTTCCATTTTCATACCAGTTTTATTTGTATCGGATGTTTTTTGCCAACTGTGTATATTGTAAAACTACATCTTCACTGATATTTTATACATTTTGTATAAACTAAAAGGTTTTCTTATAAAATAAAGGTGTTAAAAATGTTATTTTGTTTGATGCATTCTTTTGAATTGAGTGACGTTTGGTTTCTTCTTTTTCTTTATCTTTGGGTATTTGACTGTATTTCATGAAATGAGTTTTCAAGAGTTTTTATTTATGTAAATCAATATTTTGCACAGTCGACTGCACATCAAGCTACATTTTTGTTGCAAAAGGAACCTCTTAAAACTATTCAAACCTTCCTCTTGAGTCACCTATCTTTGATGATACATAACCCTTTGAAAAAGAGGCAGACAATAGTGACCGAGTTTCTTGCGCTGCTTCTTCTCAGCACTGGCCCATTTATTGTCCCTAAACAGTGGAAGGGTTAATACTGGGACATGTAAAAGAGCTTTTTGTAAGCCTACTTGAAAATAAATTAATTTTAAATTGAATAAATCGCATTACAATCCAATGCGATGTTTAAACATTGTTTTAATTATTGTAGAGATTAGTGTAGGGAATGAAAGTATACCCTAAAGACTAAAATTAAAATAAATAAATACTTAACATGTCACTAAATTATGGTCAAGGCTTAACGTTAATTCCCTATTTATTGGTTGACTACCCTCAAATTAAGTTATCGTTAAAATCCTGGTCAGGATGAAGTAACTCCATCAGGAGCCAGCCACTTAAGGCGCTCTTACACCGGATTAAGGGCACAACTACACTGCAAAGCTAAGCTAGAGCTACCCTTAAGCTATCTTATTCAATGGTATTGTACTCGTAGATCGTAGTCACTATAATAACCAACCTTGTGTCAAGTGTACTATGCGCATTTAAAGCAATTTCACACTAAATTAAGAAGATCTATAGTATAAATAAATAAATAAAATATAAATAAATCTTTAGACAATATCACAAACAGCCAGTTAGCCCCAATTATGGGTGCTAGCTTAGCGGATATTACTACATAAATTCCATACTTCTTAAATACACTATTATTATACACTAGCTTTCCGCCCGCGGCTTCGCCCGCGTGGAATTTTTTGGTTTTTTATGTAACCTCATCAATAATGTGGCTTTCTATTGGTTAAAGAATTTTTAAAATCGGTTCAGTAGATCCCGAGATTACCCCTTACAATTTAACAAACATAGGTATGCAAACACACAAACTTTACCTCTTTATAATATTAGTATAGATAGTACAGATAGTAACACCCAGACCCGTCATAGAAATTAAAATTAATCATTTCAATTTCTACCCGGCCGGGAATCGAACACGGGACCGCTCGGCATAGTAGTCAACTCTCAACCACTGCACCAAACGGCCGACAAAAGGCTTAGGCGTGAAAAAGAGAAATATGCGAGCATTGGCCTCCCCAACTCGTCTGGCCAGCGTGGGGAGTGCAGGCCGATTCTTTCATTTGCCTAGAAAGGATCTTAATCCTACAGTCGAGCGAGACTAAATCAATAATGGACAAATACCAGCTTGTAGCATACTATGTGTAACTTTTAGTGTAGTGCAAGCCTAAACACCGTCGGGTAATCACTCAAAATTAGAATTAAACCGAGTTAGACACCACGGAGCTTCTACTTTCAATGTAGACTTAGATTTAGACTACAGACAATGGCAGAGTTCCTAGAAAGTAAGTAAATTGAGGTTAGAGGTAAAATAGCATTTTTGTTTATGGGTTTCTTGCCCAAAGGGTGGTACGTAGCTCGAAGACCTGATAGCCGTTGGGGCAGAAAAGTTCTCGAATGGCGACCATAGGCGTAGTAGGTATCCCACTCGATGAACCGACGATTTAGTGAAGGTCACGGGAAGAACCTGGATGCGATCAACGCAGGACCGGTTGTTGTGGAAATACCTTGGGAAGGCCTTTGTCCAGCAGTAGACGTCTAAAAACAACAACCTTACCTAAAAATGGCGCCATAACAATGTTAACAGCATTGTTGTGTTCCGGCAGTCAGAGGCAAGGTCGCCAGTTCCTCCGTGGTTGAGCCTACCATCGACCTGATCATCACTTTCCATCAGGTGAGATGCAGTCCAAGAGCTTCCTCGTTTTGAATAAAAAAAATGCAAATGCGTATTCTTTCCATCGCGTGACGTCACGTCACCCCTTTCAATTCATGCACCTGCTGTCTACCAAAAGATGTGTCACCATACCCATCTCTTTCACACTCAACACCCCACCACTCTAAACAAAACATGAAAATAAATTCCCTCCTTAATATAAGATATCGTGGCCAGTTTAACTTGAACTGTAATTCTTCTGAGGTTCGAACGGTTAGAGCTTGAAGCATGGTTAATGTTATGGTGGTTTTAGACGTGTCAGTGGTGTACAATACCCATTATAAGTCCACAATGAGTGGAACCCTCTTAACACCTCGACTGTGGTTGAGATTATTATTCGGTTGCCATAGACAAAAGAAGTTTAGAAGGACCAGTGGTTATGGTATTGATTTTACTATAAATAGTGCCCTGATACTTAAAAAAATATTCTGATTAATTTCAGTGTTTCTCTATTGACACACTTTAACCTTCTCCTACTCGTTGCTTTTGCCGACTTTGTTTAAATTGACAGCAAAAAATTAAAAACGCGCGTTGAAACAGGCGTTATTTTTTTTAAATAAGTATTTTTTTTCTAAATATTCAATTTTGTGGGATAACCAGGAAAATGATTTCCTTTCTCTAAAAAATATAAAATAATACACTTACGTACTTTCATCATAATTATTATCAGAATTAATATTATTACACTATACTTTTTCCGCCGCTTTTTCTCAGCTCTAACTCACATTATAGGTACATATTTTGTATCAAAGCATTGATAGGGTTAAAATAATTGCGCTTTAATGCCTCTTTGAATGAATAAAACTTTTGGACAAAAATCTTTCAAAAGGAAACTCCAAAAATACATCAAAGTTAATAAACTTGTTTAGATTTTTTTATTGCGACAATTTTTAAAAAGGAGAATGCCACATGGCATTAATTTTACCTTTTGCACCGCATTTTTTGAATGCAATAAAGATTTTCAAATAAATAAATATTTTTTTTAACCCTCACAATCCGCGCCTCTTTTTCTTCCATTTAATTTACCTATGGACAAAAGATCCCAATACTTTTCACACCTATCGGCCACTTGAGAAGTGTGGGACGTGTCTACCCTCAATTAAAACGATTTGAATGAAGCCTTCTCTATTACAGTTGGTGTGAAAGAAATGATCAGAATGAATGGATTGCTTTTTTGAATGCTTTTAGCCGACTTAAAGGAATTTCAGTTGAGTAAGCTTTGTGTGAAACTATTTCTAGAAAATAATTGAATTTTTTGCAAGAAACACATACTTTTACTTCATTAAATTACTATTTTTAGCATGTATCCATTAGCATGTTTTTATAATAAGAATATTCTTCAAAATTATTGCGATCAATAAATATCCGAATAGAATTTTTATCCTTTTTGACCCCAAAAATTTTTTTGATTCTTTCTTTTCCCTTTTTATTAATTTATTTTGCAGTCTATCAATATTTGTTGATAAGGAAGCTAAAAACATTCCAATTAAAAGTTGGTTGTTACAAAATTAATGTTATTCTCATTTATTTTGATAATAATTTTTATCCGCCCAACCAGATTCTTGAAATTTTCAGGCACAATATGTTCCCATTTTTTCTTCAAAAAAACAACAGAGACAGGTCATTTAAAAATGCTGAAGACCTTTAATGGCACCCAAAAGGTTAAATTAGCTTAAAATTTTCATTTATAGTAAAATCGCAGTGGCAGGGTTAATAGCTAATGATTACGTGCGAATATAAACCTTGTGTCATTGTGTTAGGGCGCAAAACACGATGGCAGGTTTTGGTCATTATCAGGATAGAGTTTTAAAAATGTGACGCCATTATTGGCAAAGGCGTGACGTCATAATGTCTATGATAAATAGGTACACTTTACTGAACTATACACAATTAAATGTCCTGAAATCAGAAATTTATAACTCAGAATCTGATGTAGGTACATACAGCTGTCGTAGTAAATTATTGAACGTGCTAGATACAATAAAAAAAAATCATGATTCATTTTTCAAATTACTGTGTGTCTTTACTAAGATGGATAGAGTAGCACTTTAACCGTAACTACAATTAACCGGTGTAAGATTTTAAACTTTTGCGTTTCATTTCAACTAAAATAGTAAGACACGGGTCCTAACGCGACGTTTATTAATGAGTTATTATTACTATTCTAATTAACCGGTGTGTTTAAATGTAGTTTGACAGACTTTTGACGTTTGTATATTAAAGTAAGATGGTGCAACCGAAGATAGACTTGTACTTGCACCCCACTTGCTCATCGCAAATTTCCAAACGAATCAGCCAAAAACGTTCAATAATCTAAAATCTAAATCTAGTCGCAAAACTAATCCATTACAAAAACCAGCCATAACAGCGGCTAGACATTAATGGCGGACCAAACCGCTGCATTAGGCAAATATTATAACAGACTCGGTGGCCAGCTGACGCTGCAGGACTCGTCCACACTGGAGATGGAACCTATAATAAAAAGAAAGAAAAAATATTTGGTACAAAAAAAAGAAAAAATATAAAATAGTATTTATTTTATTTTATTTTATTTATTACGGTATACCAACAACAGTATTTAGGTTAATTGGCACAAAAACAAAGATAAAATAACCTGTAAAAAATCATAGAAAAAAGAAAGAAATATTTATTTGGCACAAAAAACAGAAAAAAAAGGGATGCCAAAAACTGAAAATAGGCCTCCCCCAGTGATTTACCCAGTTGGTAGCGGCCTGCATCTGGATGCAGGATCTGGATCGTAGGAAGGCGCTGGCGCCTTCCTTCCTACGACCAGACAAACAACAACGTACCGTTGTTGACCGACGACCTTATGAGAACCTTGTGGGTGGAGCTCTCATGCTGCGTTTTCCGGTACGTGTTTTCCACTCCAAAA